AGAATATACTTCTACAACCTATACATGCTCCCTCTAGGTCAGTACTGAAGCATATTGGCAGAGTAATGGCCTTTTCCATAGACAATTATATTGACAGCACTGGAAAATGTGATACTTTTCACATGCATTACACTCCTATTGGCCTTATCCTGTGTGGCTCTGAAGACTACATGGAAGATGTTTAACTTAACTAGTGGTGAAGCACTGGAATGGGTTACCTAGGGAGGTGGTGGAATCTCCTTCTTTAGAGGTTTTTAAGGTCATGCTTGACAAAGCCCTGGCTGGGATGATTTAGTTGGGAATTGGTCCTACTTTGAGCAGAGGGTTGGACTAGATGACCTCCTGAGGTCCCTTCCAACCCCGATACTCTATGATTCTATGGTTGTCATTGGAGACAATAATTGAGCTACTCAGTATTTTACCCCTGTTCAGTTAAATCTGCTCTTTAAATAGTTGAGGAAAGTTACTGTATCTAGGACAAGCACCTTTGTCCTTTGACACCTGAGGAAGTTTGTCACTCAAAACAGTCTGCCTCTTATTTTGAAAAGTGGTTTGGTCTTGATTTGTACTTTTTGAGGCATTCTTGGACAGACTTTCAGGAGAGATGTGGCTGTTTATTTTTAATTCATGGGGAAATTAACAGTGTAGTAATATTTTATGAGCAAACTAAATAAATTCCTGATACCATGGTTTATGTATAGTAACTGTTTAACTGAGATCTGTGGGTGTATGTGACTTGTATGAAATCAGAAGTGCAATAAGATGAGCGAAATTAAATTATTATTTAGGTTGGGAAATTTAAGGTCAGTCTTTGAGATTAAGAAGGATACTATGTAACAGGCAGTGGTAGGAGGTGTATTTCAAAATACATTACTTGGGCTGAAACACTTATTAATAATAATTAATAATACACTCCTGCCTATTGTTCCAAGTTCTCTTCCAGTGACCATTAGCTAAGACTGTATTTCCAGAAGTTGCAAGTTTCACCCTCCTGCCCCGCCAAGAGTAAATCAAACCCACAGAATTCATTTGTAATGAGAATATTCTCTCATCTTCTCTAACCTTTCCATGGGGTGGGTGGGGGATGGCAGGGTCAAGGCCAGCCATAATCTGGCTCAAAATAATGTGTTTAGCTGTCAAATGTAGAGACATGTGGATAACTTTATTTTTCATGCTGCTGGCTGTTCTGAAAAATAAAAAAAACAACTTGCTTTGGGCCAAACAAAACATTTTGTTTAAGCTGTAATGGAACAATTCATCTTGATTTCTGGATTTGTTTTTACACTTTTTGTTTTGAAATGTCCTTCAATTTTATTTTTAAAACGTAATTTTGAATCATAAAAATGAAAGGTTTCATTTAGAAAATGTTGAAACAAAACCTTCTGTATTGGGGGTTTATTTTTTCAATTGAAACCATTTGGTGAATTCGACACATGCACAAAGCATTTTGGTTTACCAAGTCTGCATTTTTTGGTTGTTTCCTCCCCCCTTCTTCCCCCCACAAAAAATTTGTGTTGGAAAAATTTTGACCATCTCTAGTCAATGCTCTTCCAGCAAGCCTGAGTATTGGCTTTAAAAGAGCACCTCCTTGTTTTTAATTTAGTGGCATCAAATCAGCCAGTAATACCCTATCATCTTCAAGCACTTCATGTACATAGTTCAACTTTAAAATATCTCCGTTCTAGATATAAAAGCTTTATTTCAAAAAGAATTCTAATATTACATAGTTTCTTTTATCAGGCACTAATAGGACTTGAAAATATTGGGATATTAATTACTCACCTTGTGATTGATCTCCAAAGAGAAGTTATTTTGGAGTTCTGTTAATGTCATTTTATTGTACAGCAGAACTGGATCGCTTCTGTCTTCAGGTTTAGTTGTAGCCTACACATGTTAATTACAGAAGAAGACTATATAAGTTGAGGCAATTTATAGCAATACCAGGAAAAGGAAGTGAAAATGATGAAAGAATTGAAGGTCTTAAGGCTTGATACATGTCTACTGTATATGGGCAGTTCATAATATTGCTCAATGCCTTGCAGGTACATGTTGTAGGCTTGAGTCAAAAGAGAGGACAAAATTACACTGACAAAATCTCTGTTAATACTATAGGTCTCTGCTTTTTGGATTAGAGAGCCAATATCACTGACTTTCCAAAAAGCTCTCTTGCTTTGCTACGATACTTTCAACCCATAGGATATACTCCTACTCTTTTTTCTCATGCACCATGGATATCCCCAGTTAAGTTGCTTAAACAGCCATCTGGCACATGTTCTCTTGTCCTCAAAGATCCACCCTTCATTCCTGGGTTTCCATCTGTCCTTTCCAATGTACAGCATCCCCCCTGAGCTGGATCTGCCAGAAGGGTAGGAGAGAAGCAAGCACTTGCATGATGCAGCACTGAGCAGGGAAATACTGCTCCTTGGGCCTTTTGCCCTGGGGGTGCCATACCGCTGCTTCCCCTCTGTCTCCTCCCATTGCAGCTTGTCTGACTAGAGAGGGGGAGGAAGTATCATCTGGCAGCATATCGTCCTTGTGTCCCTTCTTACCTTGGCTCCCAAGATGGTGAGTTGAGAATGCAAAATAATAAGGATCCGAGTGATTTCTCAAAGGAAGGTGGTCTATCCAAGGCAGAATCCCCTGCCTCTATTGGCACAGCCAATTCTGTTGGTGTAGGGGTAGCAAACTTTGGCCACTCCATTCATTTTTAATTTAGAAATTCTCTCCCCAGCTCCAGTCCTTTTTAAGACTTCCTTTATATTTATTTTTTCATTCCCTCTTCCCTGCTCCATTATTCCGCACTCGGCTTCATCATATATTTTTCTCTCCACTCCTTTTCCTACAGGCTTCTCTAAGCAGAATGCAGATTCCACATCCATTACAGCTCAAACTGGAGCTGAACTTTCAAATTTAGGTCAAATGGGTTCAAAATTAGGCAACAGCAGCTTGCCCATCACTAAGCATGGCATTTGCCAATAGCGAGTGCCATAGAGAAGTGTCAGATGTGATTTCTTTTCTAACTTGCCTTTTCAATCCTTCAAACCTTTATCCAATAAACTCCTTTTGGTTGAAAGTTTTTTCCATCTTTGGTCTCAGTCAAAGGTGACTTTCTCAAGAGTCTGAGGAAAATCAAAATCTGTTTTTGATATATGGAAATGGGGAAATTACACTTCCTCCTTGACACACATGCCATTAGTCTGTTGGTGTGACTCAAATGGCTGAAGCTAGAAAATGCAAACTTGGATTGTTTTATAGTCCTCCTCACCAAGGAAGTAAAAACAACTCAAGGGTAAAGAAAATCAGTCCAGAATCTTCCCAAGTTCTGAATGTTTTGAGGCCATATTTTTGCACGTGAGTACTAGAATTTTCCATTTGGTTTGTCCCCTGACACTTTTAAATTCTGGCTGCCTGTGTTAGGGATACTATTGTTGAAGAAAACTCTTGACTAAGAGTTTGGGACAGCTGACTAGTGGGAGACTGAAAAGGTTGTGTGGGCCAAATATTATTCTATGTTGTATTCCAGGGACTAAAGTCGGTGCCCACTGCTCTAACTAGCCCCCCAAAAATCAAAGAGAAGGATAGGAAGGAAGGAGACCCCTAAAATGTCCCTCATAAAGTGCCCTTTCTTAAGCAGATGGTATGTGAACCAAGTCTCTCCTGTCATTTTCCCACTCCCCACTGGAGCTATGAAGGGCTGAAAGTAAACAATGTGCAGAAGGTCTGAATACTACTGCTTGGGAGGAGACAGCTAATGACAATATTTTCCCTTCCTCTTGTAATAGGCACCTTCAGGTCCATGTGCCCTTTAATCTCCCATCTTGTGTACCAGGCCTGACCTTCTTCAGGATTGCTTGGCCTGGTGCACATCCCATTTACAGTCCACTGTGTCTTATGGACACCATACTGCCATATAAGCTAGTCTTAGGATTTGGAAGCTAAAGTGTTGTATAGAGTTGCTGTGTTTAAATGGAGAACCTCTGTGTACACGAACTGCTTCAAGTGGTCTGCAGTAGGCTGCATTACATGTGGCATTCTCCTCCTAATTTCCAGCTGCTTTATCAAATTAAAAGACAGCTAAAAATACACAACATTTTGCTAATATTACTTTCCAGACAAGCAATTGCTGTAGTCGCCACTAGGGTGTTATGGAATCCTAAATAGTAGGGGAAGTGGTCAGCAGGATTGTGAATGTGAGGGAAGGCGACCCATGAGACAATCTTTCAGGGTCTCACTTTGGAAAAGTCTGAGACTTCTGCTCTACTCTATACAGTTGGTATATCAGTTTAAGATTGTAAAATGTTTTGGGATCCTTTGAAGATGAAGGCCATTATATAAATGTAACATGGGCTGCATTGTGTCTTGAATACAGGGTCCAGTTACATGGAGACCATGCCTATTGATTTATCTCCGGGCAGACTATGGCTCCATATCCTCTTAGTGTTCACATAAAAGTAACTTCATAACTGTTTATAATGTTCTTTCCTAAATGTTCCTACTGCTTATCTCTTTTAACCTAAAATAAAGTCAGTTATGTAAAACCCACAAAGAAAAGTTTCCTTACATTGGCAATCTCTATCTCCAGATCCATAACTCTTTCCATTTCTTTAGAAATCTGGCTTTCATTGATGGTGAGATTTTTTTCTTGGAGAATTAGCTTAGCCACAGAAATCATGAAAGACACATAGGCTGAACACGCCTGCAAAAAAGAAACAAACAATTTCAAGACAAACCTCTTCAAAGTACTGTGTATCATGCATATCTTAGACTAACTTTAATTTTTGTGAATTATTGTTCCTGGCACTTCTTAGCTACATTTCTAAAGAACAAAATATAGTACTACATTCTGAAATGCTGCGTTATAACGTGGAAATTAAATTTAAAAATTTTGTCATGGCAAATTGCTATATGGGTGCAGCACTAATCAAGACTAAACATTGCAATCTGTTCTGCCATGCACTCATAATTTAAAATTAAGATGTTTACTAGTCTATACTTAAATCCCACCCCTCGTGTTTGTCTGGGAATTACCCCAAATTTCCTAATCATCTTACTTAAATTATAATTTCTGAAAATAGTGCCTCCAGGCAGCAGAAGCAGAAACATTAAATGAGGGAAATGCTGATGGGATAGTGCTGAATTAGCATTTGGGAAACATCACTCCCAGAAACAATTATTCTTTTTTAGTCAAGTAACTACTATATCTTTCTTGTGAGTCTATAGGAACCTCTGTGCTGGGCAGTTTCCTTAGTCTGCAATGATACGTACTTTCTATCAGAACATCCTGAGGTCTCGCTAATGGCCGTGCACTCCTTAGGCCATCAAAGGCTAGGGAAAAATGTTCTGTATACTGTTTTTTTTAATAAACTGTGTTGGCTAAATAGTCTGTATCAGGGACATTTCTGCAGCTCCTGTAGAAGTTAACAGACAACGATAACCTTTCTATAGGCTTTCAGATCATCCTATTCAATGTAATGAAAAATAATATCCCAGCTATGGATATCTATAGGGTGGTTCACATATAGTACGGATATAATTTTATAAGATTAAACTTCTATAGAACCCTCTTGGTGTCATCTGTTCAATTCTATCAGACTTTTCCATAAAGGAAAGTAGGGCAGGAATTTCATTACAATGCCTCTTTATAATTCCCATTCATTTTGCTTTACCTTCTCCCTGATAGGAATCCTGCTTTCAACATGCTCCCTTAATGCAAATATAAATAAATTAAACTAAATATAAAAACAATGTAATTTTTAAAGTATATGAGCATTTATGGAACTATATTGGGATGTTTTGACGTCTGCTCACAAGCTGACCGAATGTGACCTGAAATGAGACATTCAGATGGACATTTTAGCGACTATCACCAATGGCATTCATCTGCAGTTAGCCTCTCGTATGTGTGTTTAAAAGGCAGTGCTGGTTACAGTCTGTATGCACTTGGGGCTTCAAACTGTGAAGCACTGGACACCTCCTGAAAATGATGTTGACTTCATTGGGAGTTGGTGGGTCACTGCACCTCACAGGACTGGGCCCTCAGTGGTACTTGTCATGAGTTAGAAAAGAACACTTTAACAGGGAGGAAATGGCACAAAGTTCCTGGCAGCTAAAATGCCAAATTGTACCATGGGGCGTGCTCGTCAAGCCCAGAAACTTTTAAGAGTACGCAGCTATGTACACAAATCTTAAGCTTTCTATGGGTCTAATCCAAAGCTCACTGAAGTTAATGGCAGTCCTTGAATTGCCTTTAATGGACTGCGGATCAGGCCTAACCTGGAGACCATTGCATGGCACCTGGGAACAATCGGAACAGCCAAGAGGACAATTCAGCTGATCTCTAGCTACAGCTGTAAATAGGTGCTGGATATACTGCAATCTTAAAGGGCATTCAGGGTCAAAAATAACTGTCAGCAGTGGGGTGAAATGGTTTCTGAGGTACCACTAGTTTAAAAAAACTCTCATACAGATTCCACATGTAGTTTTGGGTGAGAAACACTCCTGATAAAGCTGAAAATGCTTCGGTTAAAGAACAGGAGATGGACCAGCTGTCTGTTTGCCAGCTCAAGGATAAAAGCAGAATGACACAGCGGGAACCAGAGCCAAGAAAAGGCTGCTGGCAGAGTGCAGGTGGCTACTCTGTTGGGAAGAGACTTTTCTCATTCCCTTGAAGTCTTCGGGGTGGTGGGAATATTTAGAATCTGCCTGCCTTGTGCTTACTCTTGACATTGCTAAGAGGGGGTGTGTGTGTGTGTGTGTGTGTGTTTTGTTTTTTGGGTGTGTCCCCCCCCTAAACATTTGTCCATACTTTCTTCATTATTTAGTGGTGGAATGTTTGAGGTTTTGATGGTAACTAATCTGTCAGGTCACAATGTAACACCATCTAATTTGTTCACTAAATTCTGTAGCAAAACAAATACTAAAACCAAGTATCTTGCCTTTAGAAGTCCCAACAAATAGCTATTGTTACAGCCCAGATACATCCTTAAAGTGGATGGAATTTGGATTAAAATTTGAATGGGATGCCAGCACTGTACAGATTTGTATATCTGAGAACTCAGTGGCCTGATTCTCCTCTCACTTATGCTTGTGTAAATCACAATCTGCTCCACTGAAGTCATTAGTGCTATACTTTGTAAAAACTATTGTAAGATCAAAATCAGGTCCATAGTCAGACCAAATGAAAATACCAGCAAGAATCACAGTTCATACAATTTTTATTTAATTTCCTCGTGACCTACTTTCTGGTAGGCTGTAAGCTCTTTGGGGCAGGGGCCATCTTTTTGTTCTGTGTTTGTACAGCACCTAGCACAGTGGGGTACTCGTCTGTGATAGGGGCTCCTAGGAGCTATGGTAATATGAATAATTAGTGGTTATTTTTATTAGTAAGTAAACTCTTACAATTTATACTAGTTATGTTTAGTTAACATTAAGTATCATATGTTAGCAAAAATCAACAAAACACAATCATGCATTTCCCATCACTTCTGCCTTTAATTATATGATGGGAAAACTGGCTAATTAAAGCCACAGTTTTAGCACTTAGATGACTTCAGTAAATATATATATTTAACCCCTTGAGGGTTAAGGTGCGCCCATTGTTGGCAATGGGAGAATATACAATTCTAGTATCAAGGAGTTAATGAAAATATGCATGCATGGTAAGTAAACATGAATTAAAGAAGATCATCTAGAACTACAAACAGTTTTAGTAATTCTAATGGCATGATGTGATGTAGGAGCTAAGCTCTTTGCTTACCTTCAAGCTTAAGATACTTTTAGACCTTTTCTGCTAAACCATGCAATACAATAGTTCTGACTGGAGGCTCCTTTTTGATTGCAGGTTTCCTATTCTCTTCGACCCATTAAACATACCAGTGACAACTAAAATGTAACAATTTTTTTTCAAAATGATCAAATGTCATTTCCATTCTTAATCTTGTTTTCAAAAGTCAAACAGACAATGAATCCACTAACTCTAACTCTGGTCTATAAGCTCCCAGGACAAGAACCTCAAGAAGGTGGCAGCAAATCTGTAAAGCCTGGCCTCCACTGACACCCTAGACTCTTTCCAGTCTGGCTTCATCCAGTATGTACAGAAGTGGCCTTGGCTGAACTGATGAGACAACTTCCTCATGATGATGGAACACCAGGGCTGAGACCAAATCTTCCATATTAAATGCTTTTAACA